TTCATAGAGTCACACCATACACTCTATCCAATACTACTCATGCATAAAATACAATCCACCAATCATGAAGTCAAACACCACACTTCATCATATTAATAATCATGCAATAAATGCATCTCATGACAGATATCAATGCATATCAATCATCTAATGTGTCGTCACGCATACACCTAGGAGATCTCCCTAACAATAGAGCTGTATAAGTGACATCCCATCCTACTGAAACCACCCCAACCGTTTTCACGCCCAATGCGTCTGCTCGATCACAACTAAACAGGATATAATCCTCACTCGGGTTTACTCAGATGATGTCACTTACACAATTGGAAGTCCAGATCCACCGTCAGATATAGTACAGCTGGGTACGAGCTTACCACGACCTTGGCATGCATAACCAAGTCAATTGTGGAGTTCGCCCACCGACTATCCGCAAAGATCCACGCACCTTCCAGAGTACTTGGTTAAGGAAATAACCCTCGACCTCATACCCCGCTCCAACACTAGCTAAGGACTTAGAAGAGACTCACCCAACCTAGTGGCCTACCTAAGCACCACTCTCCCAAATCCAGTGGCCTACCTGAGCACCACTCTCATATATCAGTGGCCTATCCAAACACCACTCTCAAGAGACTCTATGTGAGCTCTTGCAGTTCGAAAATATTTTTTCTCTCCTCAAGTCCTAGGCTAGACTCATGCCATAAGGCATTACATGCAATTATGCATCACACATCATACATGGTCTGCCCACCATCATGATCAACAATCATACACATGTCATAAGACATCACATGCAATAATGCATCATACATCATACATGGTTTACCCACCATTATGATCAATAATCATACACATGTCATATGACATCACATGCAATAATGCATCATACATCACACATGGTCTACCCACCATTATGATCAATAATCATACACATGCCATAAAGCATCACATGCAATAATGCATCATACATCATATATACATGATCTAAAACTTCAACTTTAAACATGCATAAGCATCAATTTAAATCAATTATTTATAAACATATTCACGTTCGGCGCAGTCAGCTCACGCCTAGCCTAACACCAACCCGAGAGTTCTAAGCTCTTCTACGCCCGGCCTAAATGTCAGTCAGAGAGTTCAAAAACTCTCATCCAAACCAACAAATCCAGCCACATGCAACCACAAAAACACAATGCATAGGCTCCATACAACTTAAATAAACTTAGATCTCACATGCATCCAACCTATGCATCAAAATTATCAAAATCCTCATTTTTCTCAAAACTCCAAAAAATGAGATTTTCTTCAATCCATTTATGGATTCTCAACATTCATGCATCAATTGAGTTTCTAAACTCACATGCAGCCTAAACAACAAACATTCTAACTTCCCTCACCTGAAGATTGGCTCAAAATAGCCAATAACTGAGAAGAAATAGAATTCCCTTCCGAAGCTCAACTTAGAACTACAATCCTTCCAAAGCAAGCTTCCTAATCTGAATTTCAAGAAAAGACAGAAGACATTAGTGATCTCGAGGAGAAAAAGAATCATACAGAGAAATTTGGGAGAGAAATGAGCTCACAGACCGCGGTGGTTGGAAGTGTAGTGGCCAGCCGGGTCGTTACAGAAACCAAAAATGCAGGCATCAGGTGAAAAGATGAACAAATCCAGTAAAAAAAAAGTGAAAAAAGTTATGCTATACAACACTCAAATGTACTATAAAAGCGGCAATCATATTTTCCTCATGATCCCCATTACCCTGCAGTGCATATGCTACGAAAAAGGTGAAATTAAATCACAAACATGCAGTATCCTATTTAAACAACTTACAATTATCCTATTCCATCCACTAAGAGTAAAGGCGGCAAAATTTTGAAATTTTGAAAAAGAAAAATAGATGAAGCTTCAAACATCTCAAACCCTATAACTATTTAAGATCCTGTAAGGAGTATTATTTTCAACAATCACTTCATTATCATTCTCCAAGTGCATCCAGGAACTAAAATAAAAAACTTCACCCGTACTACAATTATTTAACAAGCATTTAACTTCAACGTCTAGAACAACAAATGCGATCGAGAGTCTCACTTTTCTCGCTTTCCACCATCAAAAGCCTCTGATAATCCGCTACCTGCTTGTCCTCGGCACTTCTGAAATTCAAAGCAACACATTTGAGCAAACAAACCATCCCTCAAAAAAAAAAAATCCACAAATTAAAAATTTCCCCAAAAAAGATGCTGCATTGTGAAAAATGCACCTAAGCGAAGCCAACTCAGTTATCAACGCATTGACTTGTCCAAGAAGCTCTTCCTTTTCGGTCCTCAAGTCCTCTATCAGCTCCTCCGCAACTGCAACACCCAGAGTCTCCCAAATTCAGAACGCGCTCGGTGAACTTCCGAAAAGGAGTGGAGAAGAAACGTACCGGACAAGAAATTGACGAATTTGAGCTCTTGTTCCTTGTTGACGTGATCCAAATCGGAGAGTTTCTTAGTCTGTATAGAGAAAGAAAAGGAAGAATGAGTGAGAAAGGTGTGTGGTTGATGGTGTGAAACGTGAATTGCGGAAGGAACCTTGAGTTTGGTGTACTTGTCGTAGAGCTTCGAGTACAGAACCTCCATTTGGCGGAAACGCGATTTTCACTGCACTGCTTCACCAAATTCAAATTAGGGCTCCACAAAACCTTATATTTTAACCAAAACGTACTTTTTTTTGCGCTTCAAATTTCCGGGTCGGGTTTCGGCACTTCGATTGGAATCGCCCGACCCGTTTATAATCGTCTGCCTGAATTACAAGCGTGGAACTTTGGACTGAGGTATGGGAGCACAGATGCATCTAACACATAATAATATGATTAAATTATATTTTTTACTCTTTTATTTTAATTTATATATTTTTTTATTTTTTATTTTTAAAAATATCTATTTTAATCCTTTATTTCTTAAAATTAAGTTAATATAGTTTATTTGAATTTTTAACACTTAAAATTTGTTTCATAAGATTCATTTGTATAAAAACTAATGAATACAATAGATGTTCAAATTAAAAGTGTTGTCAACATAGTGAAAACAACAAAATTTCATAAAATCTAATTTCATATTATTTTTTAGTTGTTCATGAGATATATTTTGTCACACGATGTTCATTATATTTATGACCTTTTTGTATTTGAATCTCAATTATATTTTATAATTTTTCATCTAAGTATTTTAATATTACAAGTTTCACTATAAAAGTTAATTCAAAATCATGTCGTAAAATTAAAAATGATTGTTATTTTAAGATGATCAAATTGATTTAAGTATAACTGTATAAAAGATAAAAGATTAAAATAAATATTTTATGAAATAAAAAATCAAAATAAATATAAAAAAATAAAATAAAAGAATAAAAATATAATTTAGTTTAATATTTATAGAAATTTAGAATATAAAATATTTTAATTATATATTTATTTATTGAAGATACGGTTGAGTATACCTCCTAAAATTTCTTATGTATTGTGAGTCATTCTAATTGAAAAGTCATTTTTTTTTCATAATACACATTCTATTACCATTATGAGGTGTGTTCAAATCACATTAATATAATTTTTTTATCAATTATTATATTGTTCAATAATTTTATATTAATATGAATGTTGTCAATTTAACCATTAAATTATAACTTTATATCACCTTGTATGTTTATATCAAATTTTTTTAAAATTGAATAATAATTTAAAAATAATTAAAGTGTTCATATTTTAATTTATTTTGAAAGATATGCATTACATCAATTTTATTTTATAAGAATGAGGTATCAAATCATCTAAGAATAATATAAAATTTTGTATATATAATATAGGAGTGAGAAACTTTCAATCCAATTGTAAGTTTTGAAAATTTCACATTTAATATAAAGTTATTGAATAATATAATAGTTGATAAAAATTACATCTATATCGTTTAGAGAGAAAAGAGGGTTTAAACAATATTATTATAACTTTTACCAACTATTACAATATCTAATAAATTTATATTTAATGTGAATTTTTTCAAATCAATAGTTTTTTTTTTGAGAGGGTTCAATTCAATAGTTGAATTATAACTTTATATCATATTGTATATTTATGTCAAATTTTGTTAAAATTAAACAAGAATTTGAAGATGATTAAATTATTCATATTCTAATATATTTTGAAATGTATGTATTACATCAATATTGATCTATATAAATGGGTTATCAAATCATCTTGAATTGATATAATTTTTTTGTATATATGATCTAAGAGTAAGAAACTTAATCTAACAGTAAGTTTTTTAAAATTTACGTGTAATATAAGATTATTGAGCAATGTAATAATTGGTAAAAATTACACTGATGACATTTGATTTCTCCCTATATATATGTGTGTGTATATATATATATATATACATATACATACGAGGAGAGATTCATTTATTATAAAAGTAAATTTACCTAAACTTATTTTACTCAATAACACATATTGTACATCAATTTTTGTTGATTCAACCATTGAATTAAAAGTTATTAATATATAAATCAAGTATGCATTTTTTTTTAAATTAAAAACTAATTTATACTTTATTTCATTAATTCAAGTCAATGTATAAAATATTTTTATGATATCTGTCAATTTGAATTAATGAAATGGAATATCAAATAGTTTTCAAATTTTTTAAAATTCATACACTTGATATATGCATTAAGAAATTCCAATTTAATGATTGAATTGTTAAAATTTAATGAAGAACACGAGTTATTGAGTGAAATAAGTTTAAATAAACTTATTCTTTGAATAAGTAAATCCCTCTTCTATGTTTCTACTCACACATATATTCCACCAATAAGATAAGCATATCACCAAATTATTCAAAAGTAATAGCTAGTTGTGAGTTGAGTGTATCGTGTTCTTCTTTGTGCGTCTCTCCTCCCTTTTTAAAGATACTCGATGTGCTTCCCAACTACTTACTATCCACTTCACCTAAAATTGCATTTCATGTAATGTGGGGTGATGTCAACATACTTCAAAAGAAACATGGTACTCCCTATGAAAATTACAGCTCTTGTCGTTGTTGAGTTACTCAACTCTTGTCTGACCAATGTTAAAGTGGCAAGTTCAAACAAGGTACAAGAAGAGTGTTTGGGAGATATTTAGGTACATCTTTAGCATAGGAGAACCTTAGACTAGACTGCGTTAGGAGTATCTTAAAGATAGAGGTCTCAACCACTGACCATCCTTGTGGTACTTGATATTAACCAATATCCTAACACTCGATCGCAGTTCAACCCCAAGGTATAAAGCCTCAAAAGCCATAATTCGAAAGACAAAGTGACTTAAAGGTCATATCAATTGTAATTCGACCTTGAGATACAATATATATAGGACAAGTATATGAGCTCAACTTTGCAGCCCACATGATTAACAAGCCTTTTTTTTTTTGTATGTATAAGAAATGTTAGTTCGATCGAAGAAACTTGCATATTTCATAGACTTAATCAACGAACCTCGTGAACCGACATGTTTAAGGGAATTATTATTTTTGTCAATTTTATGAGAAATTTTAAAATACGAATGATTTTAGTATTTTGTTGATAAATAAATATAAGTAATAAGTATTGAATTTAATATATTTTAAATTAAATGTACAATCTTGACATGTTAATACTTTAATGTTTTAGTTTAAATGCTTAAGCCTTTATATGTCAAGACTTTCATACATATATATATATATATATATATATATATATATATATAATTTTAAATTGTTTGATGTTATATTTTTATATATAATTTTTTTCATATATTCCTTCCTCATATTTTCTTGACATAAAAGAAGAAAATATTTTTTTTTATTAGACCTATGGTCTTACTCGTTTAATCTCAAGTTTCACAGAGTGTATACATGTCAAGAAAAAGATATCATTTATTTCATAGGTTGAACTTAACCCATTAAAAATGTAGTCTTTGCATGCCTAACTTTGAATGTAACACCATTAATTAGATAAATGTACTTTTTTTATTAATCCAATATATTTCATTCAAAATAGTACTTAATTTTCTTAAGGAAAATTAAATGAAAAAATAGAATAAAAATCACACACAAAATTATATTATACATATATTTTTTACGACATGATTTAGTCATAATTACTCTATTATCTAGACAGAAGAAAAAATATTTTATTTATGTGCATACTTTTACAATACTCATTATCTTCATTCGGCCAGTGGAAATATAAAAGCAAATGAATTTACTGATCGGTGGGAGAAAGGAAAAGATTGATTGTCATGGATCCTTCTAAGATGTAAAGTTCTTGTTTGTTGAGAAAAAAAATACCAGGGATAATATTCCTTAATCACTAAAGGTCACTGCATTAATAGCTTAAGTAAAAAGTCTTGACATATTCGATATATTTATCTATTTAATTTTGCCATACAATTTATTCTAAACAATAAATACAAAACGAATAAGATGAAATATCATATAGGCTAAAAAAAATTTCAATCATACTCTAATACAAATTTTTTTTATTTATAACAAGTATATTTTCACTTTTTAATTCTATTTTAAATAGAATTTCAACAAATTTTACATTGATTAATCAAGATAAATAAGTTTTTCCAAGACATAATAACACAAGAATCACCCACTTGATAAAATATATATTAATTAAATTCTGAAAGTTAAATCTCCATCTACAAATTCATGTTTTTATCCATAAATTCAAAACTTTATTACTTATAACATGTTTATATTGATTAACCATGACTTGTTACGTACACACCATATATATCTTTTAACTCATAAAATTTATTATTTTATATATCTTATAACTTTTATATTGATGCCATATTTCCTACACACTTCTTATACAATAAAGTTTATTGATAATATAAATTTTTTGAAGAAAATAAATATCATGATAGTTGGTAACTGGAATGGTAAAATTTTAGAGGCTGAGAGGGAGCAGGGGTGTATTGGGAAATTTAAGAGGGCGACGACTGCCGCCTATGTCCTAAGCTATAACCTAGTTCCATGTTGTCACATGAATTTATGATATTAAATATTTTAAGTACCTAAAATTTATAGGTTAGATTTTTTACTTTTTGACTAATGTTAATTATTATTATTGTTAAGTTAGACTTGATTACACGATGACTTGTTTTATAAGTTGTTCAATATATTTTTATATATTTTATTATTTTAATAACATATTTAATCATCTAATATAAATTAACTTGAATATGATTATATTTGATCATTTGCTAATGGAAGAAAGCATGAAAATATATAATCTAAATCAATTAAAGTTAATTAGTGTAAAATATGTATTTGATTTAATTTTATCCGTTAATTTAAGCATCACGACATCCTTATGTTTAGATATGTCAAGACAAAATAGGTATGAGTAGTATACTTCTGTTATTTTTTTTGTTAAATAAATACTTGTTCTGTAATTGTTTTTTATTTGTGAGGGTATTATTTGTGACTTTTTATAATATACTAAATATCATGGATATACAGGATATTTACTAAAAAGAAATTAGCATAAAGTTTGCATAAAATAAAATTTACATAAATAAAAAAAATTCATAAAGAACTGGATAAAAAATTTGTATAAAAAGACCATATAAAATAAAAATCTGCATAAATAAATAAATTGCATAAAAATTCCTTGACACACATATGACCTAAAAAAATTATATAAATTAATAAATAATTTAATATCAACAACTATCTATAACTATAAGTACAAATACTATGATGTTTGTCTCCATCCCGTTAACATTTGGTATATAAAATATTTATTTTTGACATTCACAAGTTGCATTAACAATATTTATTTTTTATCCGTAGCATATATTATCCATAGGTATTCAGGAGTGTAGATTTTTTCCCCATCTCGACTCATGTCATTGGTTTATTCACTCTTAAATTGTGTTTGGATAAAAAATTTAGAAATTTCAAAAACTTAAAATTTAAATTTTTTATTATTTTAATTTCTATCATTCATTAGTGTGTTTAGATGAAGATTTTTATAAATTGAAAAAATTTAAAAATCTTAAAATTTGAATTATTTTGATTTTTATTATTATTTAAATCATTAAATATTTTGTTTAAATAAGTGAATTCAACTTTTTAATGAGCATAAATATCAATTAATAATAAATATTAAATTTTGAAAAAAGTAATTTTTTTAATAATGATTTATAATTAACATCAACATTAATATTAATATTAACTAATATAATATTTATTATTATTTTTGAAATGGAGAATTTAATCAAATTAAATTTCTTAAATAGTAAATTAATATTGCTTCATTTTTATTTATAATTAAAATTAATTTTTTATAGATGAAAATTTAACAAAATTTAATCTCTTAATTAATGAAATCATTAATTCATATATGATGGCATATTAAATGAAATTTTAAATTATCACACATTATAGTTTTGACAAAAAAAATATTTTTATTTTTTGTATTTAATTTTTTTATAATGAACAATTTAATTAAATTTAATCTCTTAATTATTAGTTAATATTATTTTTTATATAATTATTAATTTACTAATTAAATATAATTTTAAGTTATTTGTTACTCAATACAAATATAGAAGGACGATAAAAATAATATTATAGATAAAATGTGTGACAAATTGAGAATAGTAGGAAAAAAGATGAAAAACATTATCATGTGACTGTATCAAATCTCATAATATGTCTGACAAATTGAGAATAGTAAAAAAAGAAAAGAAAAAAGTAATATCTTCTATTTTTGACAAAGATTATTATGTAAGATAAAATTAAAAAACGAGATAAGAGATAAATTAGATAGAGCACAAATATATGATATAAAAGATAGAAGAGAAAAACAAAAGGAAGAGAGAAAAAGTATACCATGATGAAATAAAAATTAGAAACAGAGAAATAAGAGAAAAAAAGAGAGGTAAAAAGTAGTACCTTTTGATGACGAAATAAAAATTATACAATAAAGAAATAAGAGTTAAATTAAACAGAATGAAAAAATGTAATATATAGAAAGTATAAAAAAAATATGATAAAAGATAGAAGTTTAGAAAATTTGTCACATAGACAAATATGCTGACATAATAACATGTAAAGTTAGTTTTATAATGACGTGTCGACATAATAAAATATAACTCAACTTTTATATATAAATAAATAGATAGGTAAATAAATTATTGTCTTAAAATATATATATATTTCTTTCGTAATCTTTTTCTATTCATTTTTTTATATTAAAAAATTGATCTATAAATGAAAAATTTTACGATAATATTCTTGATTGAGCGGATATCGGTACAATTGAAATTATCACTTTAATTCTTATTTTAATAATTTATTTATATAATATTTTATATTTTTGAATAGTTTATATATATATTTTTGGGTATTTTATCCTCTTTTTTTAAAAACATATTTAGTCGTTCTATTTCTATTTTATATGTTCTGATTTTCTTTGTAACAGTATCATTATATATATTTAAAAAGCTCAGTTTTAAATTTTTTTAAAACATTTGTTTTGTCTTTTTACCTAAAATTTTTGAATTTCTACAATGTAAATTAGTTTTTTACTTCTATTATTTGCTATTTTTAAAATATTTTTATAGTATTATTACAATCTTATAATTTTAATATTTATAATTTTATCTTACTTTTTATTGTATAAATATAATTTAAATTATTTATTTTGTAATTTAATTGACTTTTTCGAATTTGTTATTAGTTCGTATTCATCTTTAGAAGTACAATATATATCAACTCCTTAAATGAAAATATAATTTAGATTATCCATTTTATAATTATAATACTTTTATTTTTGAATTTTTTATTGATCCACACAAAAAAAAAAAATTGTATTAAAACTCCTTCATCTTCTAAATGAAAAAATAATTCAAAATATTCATTTTATAATTAAATTAAACTTTTTTAATTTTTTATTGGTCCATACACAAAAAAGAAAAAAAAAATCATCAAAACTCCTTCATCTTTTGAGTGTGCACAATTCCCTTTATAAATATCATTTAGGACACATGGGATATGAAGAGGGTAAAGGCTTCATGGGGTACCAAACAATACTTGTGCTGATTACTTTTGTGAGTGCAAGCATTCTAATCTTCGTCCCTAGGTTATTCAACCAAACCTCATCATCTACAAAACTTCCACCAGGGCCACGTCCATTTCCTATCATAGGAAACATCTTGAAACTTGGCACAAAACCACACAAAGCACTCACCAAACTCTCTACAATTTATGGACCTATTATGACATTGAAACTTGGTAGCATAACAACCATAGTCATATCCTCTCCTCAAGTAGCCAAACAAGTATTGCATGAAAATGGCCAAATCTTTTCTAGTAGGACAATCCCACATTCAGTTCATGCACTTAACCATCACATATATTCTATTGCGTGGCTTCCCCCATCACCTCAATGGAGGAACCTTAGGCGAGTTTGTGCCACAAAAATATTCTCCCCACAAGTGCTAGCATCCACTCAAATCCTTCGCCAACAAAAGGTTAATGAATTATTGGATTTTGTGGAAGAAAGATGCAAGAAAGGTGAGGTCTTGGATATTGGTGAGGCTATCTTTACAACAATCCTTAATTCCATTTCAACCACTTTATTCTCTATGGATTTGTCTAATTATACATCTGAAAAGTCTCATGAGTTCATGAACATTATTCGGGGTATGATGGAAGAAATTGGAAGGCCTAATATTGCAGATTTCTTTCCCATTCTTCGTCCACTTGACCCCCAACGTGTGCTTGCAAGGACGGCCAATTATTTTAACAAGTTGTTTAAGATTATTGATGAGATTATTGAAGAAAGAATGTCTTCAAGAGCTTCAAAATCTGACTCCAAGGTGTGCAAGGATGTATTGGACTCGCTTCTTCACAATATTGAAGAATCTGCTTCTCTGCTGAGTCGTAATGACATGTTACATTTTTTTCTGGTTAGTATCTAGTTCTCCAATAATTAGATTACATAAATAGTAATGTACTTATTATAATCTCATTGCCAAAATATCATACTTGCACTAGATATAATAAAGTACTTATTTTCTAGTCACTACAAAAAAAATTGTTATACAGTGAAACATATTTTATAGTGATATAATATGTGTCATTAAAAATTATTTTTACATACATAATAAATATAATATATGTTGATATATTGTTAAAAAGTGTGGGTATAAGCTATAGTGATGCAGAAAATATGTTGTTAAATCTCATTCAAAATCAACACTAAAATTATGTATAATTATATGTTAAATAGATATATACCCACATATATTATACCTATAGTGACACTTTTTGTGTATCAGTATATGTAACATTTCTTGTAGTGAGTTATATTCAAAAATTGTATTATTAATCACAATTTTTTTTCCTATTATAGGAAATCTGATTTAGAATAATTATTTGTCTTATATTAATTACTTTTAGATTAAAATACCACTAATTAAAGTGTGATTTCTCAATTTAGTATAATGCATTAATTATATATATTTTTAAAGATCATGCATTCTAATTAATTAAGAAAAATATATTTAATTAGTTTGGATAAATTAATTAAGAAAGATAAATAATATAAGACATGTTCAAAAATACGAGTAATAATGAGAAAAAAGAAGTAAGATAAAAGAATTAAAAAAAAAATAGAAACAAACTGAATTTATTATTATCAACTAAATATATATATATATATATATATTGTTCCGGTCAAATAGTGGACTAGGGTTTTTTCCTAGATCAAGCCTCCGAGCCAGAGCATTCAAAAGTGTAATCTGCCTACTTAGCTCTAGGGTTTTAGGTTTTATACTTTTCTGTTGTTGGGCCTCCTGGGCCCCATGAATGTAGGGATTTCGCCACCGTTAATATTTGAGGGATATTTGATGATTAAAGATAGGATCTTATCTTTAATTTTGGTCTCTATACCGTATGAGGGGGTTAGGGTCGGAATCCGGCCGAGATGAGATTCCAATGAGGGAGTCCAGGTCAGATACTGATTGAGCTCCCCTTACAAGGGACCAGGTCGGACACGGGCCAAGCTCTCCCTACAAGGAGATCAGGTCGGATACTGACCGAGTTCCCCCCTACAAGGTAAAGAGGTCAGAATCTGACCGAGTTCCCTCTGCCAAGGAGCCAAATCAACTAATATTGAGTCCCCCTACCAGGATCGGGTCGGCTTATACCCAGGACGGTATATATATATATACCGTCCTGGGTATATATGTATATATATAATTTAATTGCAATGATAGTTCAAAGTTTCAATTTTGCCCTGTATGATTGTAGGTGTGTCTATTTGAAATAACCATCAAATTATTTTCTGCTCAAATCAAATTAGCTCCTAAATTATTGATGTTTCTTATGTCCCGAATTTCAAGTCATTAATTTGATCCCCTTGTGCTTTTTTTTAAACCAAATTATGTATTTAATTCCTACTGTTACTACAGATTTAAATACCTAATTCACTATATGATTAAGAAAAATAATTAATCTAATTAATAATAATAAACTTTTTTTAAATTTTTTTTTTATCCTTATACTATTTTTTTTCTTAATTAATATTCACTTCTTTCTTAACTAATTAAAATGTATGTTATATATTATTTGTCTTTCATAATTAACATTATTATTTACTCTTCTAACTAATTAGAATCATGTTTTTTCAAAGATACAATAATTAATGTATCTCAACAAATTAAAAAAATATTTTAGTCTAAAAATAATTAATACATCAAACACTAAAAATTGAATCTCATATTTTTCTAAGCTGTGTCTTATAAATATGTATAGAAATAGTATTAATTAATCTTTTACTCATGGATTTTATAATTTATTTATTATTTTGCATGCATATGCGCTTGTATGTGTCTATGTCTGTAGGATTTACTTGTTGCTGGGATTGACACAACATCAAGCACAGTGGAATGGGTTATGGCAGAACTACTACACAACCCAGATAAATTGGCAAAGGCAAGAAAAGAGTTACATGAAGTAATTGGTAAAAATGTAACAGTTGAAGAATCAGAGATGTTAAAGTTGCCATTCTTAGGAGCAGTAGTGAAGGAAACTCTTCGCATGCACCCATCAGGTCCTTTTTTATTACCCCACAAGTGTGATGAAATGGTAAGCATATGCGGCTATAATGTGCCTAAAAATGCACAAGTGTTGGTCAATGTCTGGGCCATGGGACGAGACCCAACCATTTGGGAGTATCCGAAATTGTTTCTGCCTGAAAGATTTTTGGAATGTGACATTGATTTTAAAGGTCGTGATTTTGAGCTCATACCCTTTGGGACAAGCAAAAGGGTATGCCCAGGATTACCATTAGCTCACAGGACAATTCATTTAATGATAGCATCCCTTGTACACAATTTTGAATGGAAGCTAGCTGATGGGTTAGTGCCACAACACATGAACATGAAGGAGCAATGTGGAATAAGCTTAAAGAAGCTCCAACCTCTTAGAGTTCAAGCTACTCCAATCAAACACGACTAGTTATATATTAATGTGTACTTAGATATATATGACTTCTCATTGGATGTCAACAACAAATAGAAAAATGATATGGAGTTATACTTGTGACATGTATTATACATATGTACTAAGCTTGAGCTTGATTTGTTTAGTAAATTTTTAACTAAATTATTTTTCACTTTATCAATATATATATATTATAACATTTAATAAGTGCTCTTATATATACTGTGATTTTTTTTTCTTCTTTTCACATAACATTAGAGTAGTAAGAGATTCAAATCTTTGTCACACCACTACTATAGAAATAGAGTTTGTTATGAACACAAATTAATTAATGGTTTTACAACTTAATGTACTTATAAATATGGAAAAGATAGTTAGTTGTGTATTAAATAAGTGGGGTATTATGTACGAAAACACGATTGCCTCACTTTTAACATGACACGTTACGACTTTAGGTCATCACTATCATTATATTTATTGGAGAAAGAATGCAGTTTGTGTCTCTATGTCTTTATTTAAATACAGTTATTGTCATTCAACAACAGTTTCAATGATAAATGATAAAACTTGTATATCAAAATACTTTTATGAATTTTATTAATTATTGTCATGTGATTTTTATTTTTATTTAAACGGTTAAAATTATATAAAAAATATATACACAAAAATATAGAACCACTTTTATATATAATTATGGATTTTACTGTGCTCTTATTTTTCAATGATAATAATACTTTATAATGCCTGTCTCTTTCTTAAGACAGCTTTTATAGTGGACTCCCTACTTATATGGTTTGTGGGGAGCAAAGTATTTAATGTGTTAGATTTTAGTTAGAAATTAGTTGAGTTGTACTTTAATTTTTTCATACGTCATTATCTATTTTCTAAAAATAGCATAATAGTGAATCTTAAGAATTATTGGGCCCAACACAATTCACCCTTCTTGTATTCCAATTATCTATTATTATAGATGATAAGATGCCCTCTATTACTAAGATTGTAAGCCCTTCAAATAATAGTCACTTTAGATAACAGGTTATACATATAGTAGAAATATTTATCAATTGTGTAAACACACCGACAACCCTGCACCATGTGTTTTTCGAGTTAAATAGTCTTTACAATAAATTAATTAAAGATATATTAAGAAATTAGCAATTAATATATTTAAAAATAGATCTATATTTCATATAATTATGACAAATTTTTTTTACCATTTGTTCATGTAATTATGACCAAAGAAATACTACAATTTGTTACTTATACTAAGATAGAGGTTGTATCTTCATAATTTAGAAGAACTAGCAAACATGCAATTAATTAAAAGCCTATTCACAAGTGGTTGCATGAAGCTGAAACATATAACCGAATATGATTGCGAGTCCTACCCTACACTACACGAAAGACAGTGATATATTTATAAAATTTGGTATTATCCATGAGTGTGCACAACATGGCTAAATAGAAAACTCTAGTCCTAGTATCTATCAATACGACAAAAAAAAAAAAAAAACAACAGAGGAATTTTCTTTACCACTCATCCATAACATATGATAAATTCGTGATTATCAAATCTCTATAAGTATGTATTTCTCTGCCACTCTTTCTACCTATTTTATAAACATGATTTAAGAGTTAAGACTCACAGGATATCTAGAGACTAAAGGCTTATGCTATGGACTACCAAACTATGCTTCTACTCATTACCTTTGTGAGTGCAACCATTATCATCTTCATCCATAGATTATTCAACCATACTCCAGAATCTACAAAGCTTCCACCGGGGCCACGTCCATTTCCTATCATAGGAAACATCTTGAAACTTGGCACAAATCCTCACAAGGATGTCACCAAACTCTGTAGAATTTATGGACCTGTTATGACTTTGAAACTAGGCAGAATAACCACTATAGTCATCTCATCTCCTCAAGTAGCCAAACGAGTATTGCATGAAAATGGCCAAATTTTTTCTAGTAGGACAATCCCACATTCAGTCCATGCACTTGACCATCACAAATATTCTCCTGTGTTTTTGCCCCCATCACCACAATGGAGGAACCTTAGGCGAGTTTGTGCCACAAAAATATTCTCTCCACAATTGCTTGACTCCACTCAAATCCTTCGCCAACAAAAGGTTAATGAATTATTGGATTTTGTGAAAGAAAAATGCAAGAAAGGTGAGGTTGTGGATATTGGTGAGGCTATCTTTACAACAATCCTTAACTCCATTTCAACCACTTTCTTCTCTATGGATTTGTGGAATTCTACATCTGAAAAGCCTCAAGAGTTCATTAACCTTATAAGGGGCATGATGGAAGAAGCTGGAAGGCCTAATGTTGCAGACTTCTTCCCCATTCTTCGCCCAATTGACCCTCAACGAGTTTTCACAAGGATGAGCAATTACTTTAAGAAGATGCTTAAGATTATTGATGGAATTATTGAAGAAAGAACGAGTTCAAGAGTTTTAGAAACTGATTCCAAGGTGTACAAGGATGTGTTGGATTCACTTCTTAACAACATTGAAGAAACTGGTTCTCGATTGAGTCGCAATGAGATGTTACACTTATTTCTGGTTAGTATTTTAACTTTTCAATAATAAAATTTTACAAGTTGTAAATTGTAATGCACTTGTTCATTGTTATTCCATGTTTTACTCATCAATTTTAACTTCAATTTACTCATAAGAAATCAGCAAGTGATCCTATATTCGTGTCTCTTAATTTCACTTCATTAATTTTTTTTCACCTTTTCCTAATAATACATATTTTGAGTTTTGAAATAATGTTGTTAGTAGGATGTATTTGTTGCTGGAGTTGACACAACATCAAGTACAGTGGAATGGATTATGGCAGAGCTACTACGCAACCCAGATAAATTGGCAAAAGCAAGAAAAGAGTTATCTGAAGCAATTGGCAAAGATGTAACAGTTGAAGAATCACACACCTTAAAGTTGCCATTCCTACGAGCAGTGGTGAAGGAAACTCTTCGCTTGCACCCACCAGCTCCATTTTTAGTACCCCGCAAGTGTGATGAAATGGTAAGCATATGTGGCTTCAATGTGCCTAAAAATGCACAAGTGTTGGTCAATGTGTGGGCTATGGGAAGAGATCCAACTATTTGGGAAGATCCAGAAGTGTTTATGCCTGAAAGATTTTTGGATCGTGAGATAGATTATAAAGGTCATGATTTTGAACTCATACCCTTTGGGACAGGCAAAAGGATATGCCCCGGATTACCATTAGCTCACAGGTCAATGCATTTAATGGTGGCATCCCTTGTACATAACTTTGAATGGAAGCTGGCTGATGGGTTAATCCCAGAAAACATGAACATGAATGAGCTATATGGGATAACCTTAAAGATGGCTCAACCACTTCGAGTTCAAGCTATTTCAACCAAGCTCTATTAATTATTATATGTTATTGCTCCTGAATTTATCTGGATATAGTATGAGGAGAGAAATATGAGTACATTTCTCACAAGTCACTACTATTACTTGATAATGGATGGGGTCAATATTATTTCTTACATGTTTTCCTCTGGTGTCTATAATGATTAAATTAAAGAATATATATAATTAGCAAGTGCATTTTGTTAATTAATTTAATAAAATATACTCCAACATGTAAGGGCTAAAATATAATATTTGTTAAACAATACAACATCAAAGTGGGTTGGTTCTTCTGTGTGTAGCAACTTATGTAGGATGTTTTATGAGTGCATTGCGGAGAAAAAAATAATATGGTGTCCAAAACCTCTAATATAAAGACAAACCAGGAAGAGGATTCTATACTTGCCCTATGTCAAAAAGGAATTTCAATACTGTTAGGTGGATTTTTATAAGGATGTCAACTTGAGAAGTAGAATGGAGAAAGTGAAAAGGGAGTAATGATCTTACTTGCATTGGTTATGATTTTGTGTTTATAACCAAATTATAAGTGTATTAGGATATGGATGTTGGGGGTTTGTCATCTTCATAAATTAGTGGTGCTTGTATGCTCTCCATTAGAGACTTAAGAAGTTTATTCCAACTTTGTAGTAATTTATGTTCTACAGTATAACAATACATTATTAAATTATTTGGCATGTGTCAATTTTCAATGAACAGTGATTATAACCTAATCACCAAAATGCTAGTCTTTATTCCAATTTTTGTTTATAATAGGAGGTAATAGACCATAATTATGAGACACCAAATTCTGAAACTAAGAATTAGTGAGACTAGAAAAAATTCATACTCACAAATATACGTAAATAAAATTCTATAAGAGAGAAAATAAATATTGTAAATAGATACTCATAAAAAATAAGTGTAAGTATTTTATATACTTGCATTTTAACAAGACAGAGACAAGTATTATAATATCTATACTTACAAGTACATATTAATATTTAATTATGTAATTATATATTAAATTTTTAAAATTAATGAGAATAAAGTACTTTAATATTTAAATTTTATTTTTAAATTGAAGAATCTTTATTAATAAAATTATGTATAATATTTAAATAATTTAAGTTTTGACTTTTAAATTATTATTTTTTTAAAATCATTAAAATAAATAAAAATTATTATTAAAATATTTTTAAAAATTATATTTCTTAAAATAAATATGCATATCTACGAATACCCACAAATATTAAAAATTCATATGAATATCCTCTTAATGAATAACCACAAATATGAAAACAAATATAAAAGGATATTTATCTGGTGAAGCAATGGAAGACTACTTTGTGTGTTTGTTTTATTGACAACACACATTCCTAGATAACTAAATGGAGAAGCATGTGAAAAAAAAAATCCAAATGAACGTAAAGTACCTTTTTCAAACAGAAACAAAACATATCATACCGATACCCAACCCACCTCATTGAGATAGACCTTATATTAACACTACACGTTGACATAGACCTTATATTTAGACTACACAGAAGATGACAGCTAGATTGATCTGGTAGTTGCTTCCGTTAGATAACAGATGAGGGTGCAGTGGTGTACCCAGTGTGTTTAACAGCTAACAATATACTAAGATAGCTACTTCAATATATAGACAGCATACAGATACAATTGTACACTCTGAAGAGTCATTATTATTCAAAATTAGACTTATTCTGTACATAACATCCTAGATACTTCAACCTCCGCCAGTTAATTTCACCTCGTGCTCTTATTTTGATTGATGTTTTGAACTACAGAGAATTCACGCAGATTGGTTTGATATATCAGATGTTCAAAGATGGATTTCATCACTTAAAGCAAAGTTGAAAGCTAACCAAGGTAAACATAGATTAAAGAATATTAAGAAATAAAAAATATAAATAACATCATTGTCAGTTGATAATTTTCTTTATAATCTAACAAAATTTAGCTATCCTATCCAGCTCAAAAATTGGCTTTTCATGGATCGAATGGTATAAGTAACAACTTCCACACATGAACAAATGTGTCATCAGATTATACTTTTGTAAGAACCCATAAATTGCCTCTGAATGAAGATAAACCTATCAACAAGGAAAATACAAAAGAGTTATGTTGATTTCCTCTTCTTTCTTCATGTAATGAATACTGTGCATGCATTGCAAAATCACCTCATGTAAGCATAGTATGCTTGACAACATGCCGAGTGACTTAAGAGTCTGACATAGTCACTGGAGGAGGAATGTGACTTCCTGGCCTTGACGTCCATCCTTTGCGACTCCTGTATTCCTCTATAGCCCGGAGTCTAAGCCTCTCTTGAGAAGCATCTTGAGCATTCTTGAATACCTTCATTACACAACCAAAACATTTTACTGAAATAAGCATAGTCTGATAAATTTTGGAAAGCTAACAATTTCAAGTACTTACCTTAGAAGGAACAGCTAACTTGGGTGGGGCTTGTACAATATCTCCGAATTTTATTTTTTCATGTCCAGGGAAGTCCATTTCTTCTTTTTCATGGGATTTTTTGTGCTTCTTTTTTGATTCCAAATACCTGAAGAATTTTTCATGGTTGAGATTACAATAAGCTAAAGCAATATCCTGTGTTGTTTGTTTCGTGTAGACAAATTACATGAGTTTAACTTCAAATGCCATATAAGCCACCTCAAATGTAACAAAAAGTATTTATTTCTTTTATGCATATTGGTATGTGTTCACAACTTCACACAAAATAAAGATAATAAACCTTGGTATAAATACATCCACTTCTGCTGACTTTGAATACCTCTTTACACAGAATACAACATAGACTTACATTTTGCAGACAAAAAGGGAAAAAAATATCTTTTTAAAACTTTGAAATATGGCAAGGATCATTGAAGTGTCAACAGTCATGGATACAACAACAAATCCTTCGATGTTAAAATATTACTGAGATTGTATAATCTTTTAATGCACATTTGCATTTAAACGAAATACAATGTTAACAAAAACTGACAAGGAAAAAGAAAATAATTAATATGTAAATAAACTTCACACAGAATGCAGAAAGTGCATCTCTCTAAAGTCTAAACTCAATAAAACATACAAATATGAAGGCTTTATCTCACTTACTTTTTTCTACGCTCCTTTCTTTTTAACTGAGAGCTTGTTTTATCCACTTCCATTGCAAACCTGAGATCTTTAACTTCCTTTCTCTTTCTTTTTTTCTTCTTCTTGTCAATTGCACCATTTTCTAAAATCTGTTCATCACTGACTTCCATATGTTGAGGTGCCTTCAATTCTCCATTAATATTCTCCAGTTTGACATCTAAAGTTCCAGCATCACCTCTTTCCTCTGCCGCAGTCTTCTGCACAAATAATCATCAAATAAACACCCAAACAAGACATATCATTATAAATAACAATGTATTAATCATATATTCTTGAATCTTTGTCAATAACAAATACTCAGGCTATTGCAGTTTTCTGATGTTAGATTAAAATTATATAAAACATTATCATATATCTAAATATAATTACATACATTCAGTTGCACTGAGTGCCACATCCCACGGGAATTAGACACAAAATAGGACAGACTATACTTTAGAGTATAAATAAATTCAACACATGAGATAAACAATGAAAGCTCAAGGCAACAACTGAATGTAGTAGGTTCGAGCCTCATTGCAGTAATTGCAATTCTTACTAATAAAAAAACAAAAAGAGCAACAACTGACTACCTAATGCGCAAACTCATCCAACTCAAGAGTAATGAATTATAGAGCCAAAAAAACGTATCATGTGCCCAAATTTACACAGACTCCGCAATTCAATTACACTAAGCAAAACAACAACTGAAACACAGACGACCTTACAGCAACCACACCTCAACCAACCCAAGTTTCTTATGTCACTTATTCATAAAACATGAAAGACAACCAAATAAATAAATAAATAATGAAATAATGAGATATAAAAAAAAAAGATTAAAAGGTTACATTTTGGGCACGCCCATCATCGTTACTCTTGGTCTTTGACGACCCATTAGCCCCTGAAACGATGGGACACCAATGAGAAACAGAAAAAAGAAGAGATGCAAAGTGAGAGAGAAAAGAGAAAGAGAAGGAGAAGGAGAAGAACCATTTTGGTGGTGAGTGAAAGACATGATTTTGCGAAGTTTAGAAGGCAAAGCATCGAGTTGGGAAGCTTTGGGTGGAGGAGGGAGGCCACTGTAGCCGCCATGAGCAGCCCTGTAGTTTTTCTCTCTTCTTCTCTTTCCCTTTCCTCCCATTGTTTTTCTCTCTCTTTGTTGCTGTAGAAAACCCTAATTTTTCAGCATTGGTTGATTTTGTGCCAACTTTTTTTTTTTTTTTTCCTCTCTCTCTTTCAAATCCCACAATTAAAAAAAGAATAATTTTAACACCAGTTTAATACGTCATTGTTTCATGAACACTTTTAGAAACATTTAATTACATTACATCCTCATACAGGAAAAAGAATTGTTATCATTCTTTTCATCTTTTCATATTTTAAATTTAGTTTTAGAAGTATATTTATAATTCATAAAATTTAATATTTTTTTTTTCATTTGCGTATCTGAACATTTACATCAAAATTTTATTTATATGATCATCACATATATCATGTTTCAATCATATCCGTCAAAAAATTTCTAATCTCCTTAATCATTGGTAAAATAAAAGAGTCACAATCATTTGCAAATTCAATCAACATAGTGCACTTACATGCACAGTGATATTTTGGATCACCTACAGTGGGAATGACAAGTTCACCTTCAACTTCAAGTGATCCCTGTCAAGCTAATTCAGCTTCTCATGTAACTTGATGTAAAAAATAAAAAAAAGATTTAAAATACGATATCAATAAGATAAATAGATATTTTAACACTGTACCACTAAATAAATAAAAGTTATTTATATTTGACTAGTAAAATAATAGTTATATACAAATATCTTTAATAATTATATACAAACAAAATATTAGAAGATTGTAAGTAATTATTTAAAGAAAATATAAATTTTTTTTATATATGAAAATATAATAATTCACTAAAAAATAAAAATAAAAAATAATTACATATTTCTAATATTTTTTTATAATAGATATAAATACTGTATTCATTTATATATTTTATAATTGAAACATGTATTCTTTATAATAAAAAAGAAAGAAAGAAAAAGTTAGTGTGAATCGGCAAACACCACGAATTAGTATTAAGATGTGGCCAAGAATAATTAATTTGGTTATAACTAATTTATATTTATTATTTATGTTATCATGGTTATAAGTAGCGTATACTTTATATTTATATATAAACAATGTAATGAATTGAATATTATAAAGGACATATAATATTTTTATTTATAAATTGTTTATTAAAAATATTTGTATTATTTCAAAGTATATACATAAAATTTTATTGAAGTGAATTTATGTTTGAATCCTTTAAGCAGTATTTTAGGTTCACTAAACATTGTTAGAGACTAATTACATTAGTTTTCAATAATGTAAGAGAATAGTTTATCTATATAACATGGTGGCCAAAAAAATTGAAAATAAGAAGTCAGAATAAGGACATTTTCAATATTTTTGGTTCCTAAAGAAAAAAAAAAAAGAAATAAAAGTAAAGATTTTTTTTTTAATTTCTAAAAACTTAGAAATGAAAATTATTTTAAAAATAAAAAATAGGAAATGAACATAAAAAAATATTTTCTCTCATCTAGCTGCACCTAAATTTTTAGCCCAAATAAATTTAAGTTTAATTTAATTCAAACCAAAATTAAATAAGAAGTTACATGCACTATTAAAGTTGACCTAATGATAAGAATAGGATAAATAAAAGAGAAATTAAGTTTGATTCTTATTCTCATTACTTCTATGCACATAAAAAAGTTTCTTTTATGCTACTTTTTAAAGCAAATTTCTTCCTTTTTATTTATTTATATTCAATAATAATTTATAAGAAATGAAAATAATAAACATATATCATTGAATTTGATTTGAATGAGACTAAAAAGAAAAATGTACATAAGGTTTAAGTGATTATATTTAATTATTATCTAGTTTTTAATTCTAATGTATATCGGGATTTGTTTACAATGGGATGGAGTGAGTACATGTATTATAATACCTATTCGTTCTACACTTTTATTTATATATAATTATTTAAATAAAAATATCTCATATTATTAATTTAAATTCTAAATTTTACTATTTTATTTATTCAATTAGAGTTATTGTATCATTTTAAAATATTTTTAATTATAATTTCATATAGGTTAATCTTTAATTTTTGTCATGTTTTAGTTTTTTTTAGATATTACTAAACCAAAATAATATATTTAAACTTCTGGTTGTTGGTCACTTTGAAGCTGAATTTGAGGGATTGCTCCAAAGTGACTTGGTTTGATCCTTCCAATATGACACCTGCACCACCACCCTTAGAGTTGGAGGACCCGTCAACGTGTAAAGTCCATACCTGGGGTTCCTCAAGCTGCAAGCAATCCCTGCTATAGTTTTGTCTGTCTGAGATAATCCTTCAGGGCTGGGTGAAGTTGTGATTTATTTTAAGGATCTTGCCTATTTCACATAGTCATGGGAATCCTTCATGTTCATTCATGAACTGTTCCTTGAAATTCACCATGAGGACAACAAGAAACTTTTTTTTTTCTTTTTGGAAGAGGGGGTTGTTTAACTTGTTGGTAACAGACCCCCAATTAGGAAAGTTTATACCAAAAAAAATTGAATGGGCCCAAGGAATCAAGTGGGCCTGCCTATGTTAGTTAGGCTTTATTGAGCAAGACTTGTTAGTAATGCTGTTAGGGCTAATTACATAGTTAGTCTTTTATAGTAAAGTTGAGGGAGACTGAAGGAAGTTATTTGGTTTTTAGTGAGTTGTGGAGGGAGTGACTGGTCTCTCAAATTGCTAGATATTTCTGTTGTAAACCATTCTTGCGCTTCTTCACTTTGGGGGGAAAATTATATGTATGCAGCTTTACCCTGAGTTGAGAGGCTATTTCTATGTATTAGAGTAAAACACTACACTAAGTTTTACTCTAACACTGTGACAAGAAACTTTGATCCCTAGGTCCTTTGATGGCAATACATTTTTTCTATGTATGTATAAAAATATATATATATATATATGCCTGTTCTCTGCAGCATGCATCTTGCTTTCCATAGGCTCTTGGAGACCTCTCTTTTAATTTCTTGCAAATCTTTGTCTTAGAAGGGTATATCTGCATGGCTTAAATTGCTGACTTTATTTTGATTTGGATTATGTTTACTTTTAGGCAGCAACATTGGTGATAAGAGAATCTGTTGAACCACTATTGGAAGAGTATAGACCTCCTGGAATTACTTCATTGAAGTTTAGCAAGCTGTCTCTTGGAAATGTTGCTCCAAAAATTGAAGGTATTGATCTATATTGTATTCCTCTTCATTTTTTTTTGCTGCTATATTTAATACTCTTAGATGTACAAATTCAGACAAGGTTGATTTATTATTCTGCTTTTGACTCCATTTCTTTTGAGATGCTTCATATGTAGCAATTTTTTAGACTTTTTCCATAAGCAGGTTATCCCAACTTTTTATGTCCATTTCTGTTTCCCTTTTCTGCTGTTTATGCTATTTTACCATGATCTTTTTGTATTTTTAAATTTTAAGCAAAATTTAGTATCCAACTATATCATTGTACTATTTTTACGTGTCCGATCCTTATTTCCAATACTGTCTCTTATCCTTTTATTTCTTATGTATCTCAGTTGGTTGGAGAGGAATGCCTTTATTTTATAGTGCATCCCTTTGGTCTTGCTATGTTATGGAACTATGCTTATTTGTGGCTTTTCTTTAGAGCTCTTCTAATGATTGCTTGGAGTAAATTTTATAATTAGTATTCAAAGAGATTGGACAGTTTTGGCAAATTTTTTAGCCACATTGACTTATTGTTTTCTTCTCTTTTTTAAGGCCTGAAGTACATTTTTCATTTTCTTTGTTTTAATATGTTCTTTTAGCAAAATAATAATAATTGAAGATAAAATTTTCAGCATTTCTTTATCAAGTTTTATAAAGGAACCCTCATAAACTTGTAACATGAACTAAAACCAATGCAACTATAACCAAAACTTCCATGAATTAAAAAAAATCCTATCATCAATTGTGGTCCATAATATGAAGGAACCTAGGCCTTTTCTGAAAAAAACATGTTCTGCCCATAAACTCTTACTTGCAATCAATTTAGACTTGTCTTCTCTTCATGATCTAGCAAGTGATTAGTAAGCACTGATCCATGTCTAGATATGTGTTAGGGACTCAGGGCCATGTTAAAAACTTGTCATAGTTTGTAAAAAGTATAATTTTAATCCGTCATTCCCAACAAAAAAAATTATATCTAAAAGCAATACAATCCAGTCTATTATATTTTTTTAAAATCCGGGAAACTGGGAAATCATATATTGTGAGATTCAAGATTTAACATGTCTTAAATCAAACTTAGCTAAATGAAATGGACAGATAAAAGCTGGAGTTGTGTGGTTTTTGGATAAATCAAAATATTTTAGGTCTGTTATGTGCAAACACAAATCTTGAAAGAATAATGTTGTTTATTAAAATCTACAAATATATGAAAATGAGTGCAGCATTGATGAGATTGTATTAAAGTGTTTGACTTATGCATGTCAATAATATTCAGTAATACCAAACAAAATGCTATGAAATGCCATTTTTTACAATCCTTATTGTTTCTCCCTTTGTCAATTGTGTTGAATTATTTTTGAATATCAAGAGTGAATACATGCATATTTTCTTCAACCATGCAGGTATTCGTGTTCAGAGTCTTAACAAAGGTCAAATCATAATGGACATTGATTTCCGTTGGGGTGGTGATCCCAATATTGTCTTGGCTGTTGAAGCTGCCCTTGTTGCATCAATCCCTATTCAGGTAGAGTCAGCAGTGTTTTTCTATTTTGACTTTACATTGCAATAAGAAATTTTCAAAATTGAGTTATATTTTTTTTTGCTTCAGTTGAAGGATCTTCAGGTTTTCACCATTATCCGTGTTATATTCCAACTATGTGATGAGATCCCCTGCATTTCTGCTGTTGTTGTTGCCCTACTTGCTGAGGTAACTTTTGAGATGGAAAAATGAAAAAGATGTTTCTTCTCTCCTGCAAATCAAGCAAAAAATATTGACTTGAAGTTGGATGTGCATGTTTTTCATTTGATGACGTGGCATTCATTTGTTTTTCTATAAGAAGAAATTGATGCAATATAGTTGGTTAATCAAAAATCTGAAAAAGCTAGATAATTGATCCCTTCATATTAAACACGTGTTCATCACACCTGCTTAACTATCAACTTCAATGGTTTTACCGATTTATCATAGTGTGATGACGTTAGAGCCAGAGTCATTAGGACAATGCCCTTCTGTAGGTTGCGAATGAGTGGACTAGGACATGATTGTTTATAATTTAGGTGTTTGATTTTCTCAACATAAGTCAATATTTTAATTGAATTCTTGGATTACTTTTATCAGTATCACCTACTACATGATAGTAAATTGGGATGCTAATATTATTTTCAGTTTCGGAATTACTGACTTTTTATTATTAACATTTATTCAGCCGAAGCCTAGAATTGATTACACTCTGAAGGCTGTTGGTGGAAGCTTGACGGCACTTCCAGGAATTTCAGATATGATTGATGTAAGTTCTATTTTATAAAGTTGCCCCTTTCACCTTTTACTGATTTTGAATTAATACTCATAATATACTTTTTCCCTAATATTTCAAATAGGATACTGTGAACTCAATTGTTACCGATATGCTCCAATGGCCTCATAGGATTGTCGTTCCTCTTGGGGGTATACCTGTTGATACTAGGTAATATGAATCTTATGGACTTTTTTTAATCCTGTTTATTATATTTCTATCTGCCTGTAGATCAAAGCACGTGGTTTGTTAACATATCTGATAAACAGTTTCTCAAATTGTTTGAAATGGTTGTAGAAAAACCCCTCAACCAAAGTGCTTCTTTCATTTTCTGTTTCCTCTGTGCCCTTGAAAAGAGAAAAAAATTGGTATTTAGGAACTTGCCAATTTTAAATGGTAATGCTCAAATATTTTACACTGCTTAAGCTCCTTTCCTTTTTTTTTTTGTTCTTTTGCAGTGAACTGGAGCTTAAACCCCAGGGAACGCTTAGAGTGAATATAATAAAAGCGAATGATCTAAAGAATATGGAAATGATTGGGAAGTCTGATCCTTATGTTGTTTTGCATATTCGACCACTTTTTAAGGTTAAAACGAAGGTTATTGACAACAACTTGAATCCTGTTTGGAATGAGGTATTTGACTTGATTGCAGAGGACAAGGAGACCCAGTCACTCGTTCTCGAGGTTTTACACAACTAATCCTCTTTTATGTCACTCATTCGATTATAACTTCTATTTATTTATTATTTGAGATGCTTGCAAGTTGACCATGATACCTCCTGATTACAATATTAAAAATTTGTCATATAAAGTGATTATTGATGAAGACATTGAAGAGATTGAAGGAGATATAAATCATAGGATTCTTCATTCTTGTTAGATGAATATATATAATCATATATATATATATATTTATACAATTGATTACATAATCAACTATGATATATAATAATAAATTATATATAATTTATATTATTTAATTAAGTAATGTTATTTAAATTATATTCTTTGGTTATCAACTTCGAGACAATGTAAACTATGATCATGAACAAAAAAAACAAAAAAAAATTATATTGTAATTCTAAGTCATATATTTAAAATTTAAATTGTATGAATGTGTCACCCATAATTGATTATGGGGTTTCTTTAATTTGAAACCATAATCAATTATGGTTTCAGACTCAAGAAACCTATAATTGACTATGGATGTTTACCATTTTCGTAATAAATGACGTGAGAGTAGTTTTACCAGCGAGTTTTCAAAACTCCACTCAAATCCTGTCGCGTGAGTGAAAATAAATCTTGTTGGGGCACACTAAAATTCTCATAAATCTATTTAAATCATCTATTCTAAACACTCATGTTCTTTTTTAATTCTATGATAATCACTTTCTTTTCAACTCCCTACTAAATCAGCTACCCCAAACACAGGCTAAAAAACAGGAAATAAAGCTTGCTTTGATTGTTGCTCTTCCTGATTGAATACTTGGTTATGGTGCTTGAAAATCAGAAATAAAATGTAGCAAAAATGCAGAAATTTAAGGTTGTAAAATGCACATGTAAATTTATATTTGCAAATTAATTCAGTACCTCCAGAGTGTGCATATCCAGGAAGCAAATTGATGGTGATGGAACATCTATTCGGTCGTTTTCACAAGTTTCTTCTGATTCTGACTCAAAATCAACAACACCTGATTTGTTCAACTGCGAATTCGGACTGTTATTATAGGCTCTACCATTTTCAAGGGAATTAATTCCAATCAAGGCACTCATCCCATCAACTGAAATTTCCATGCAACTGATATTGCAAAAGAAAGATAATTGTGCTCTTGCAATCGGAGTACCATTGAGAGTAAAAGTACTGAGAGTATGCTGTGATTCATTCCAAGTCATTACAACCCCTTCAGAGGAAAGGCAGACAATATGGGCCTCCACACCATCCAGCCTTCTAATTAAACGTCCCCTTCTTATAGAGTGTAAGAGGACATCGGACGAATGGGAGCAAGAAACAACTATTCCGAGATCCGAGTTAACACAACAACTAAGTATTTCACTGTGGTGCCCCCGAAGTACCTGCATAGGACCCTCAATTCGACGCCTCCGGTCTTTTTCTAATGAGTTACTGGTTGAAGATGGTGTGCCTGTCCCGGAGGAATGTTCTGATACGACACTTGAGTGAGACGCAAGTGCCCTATGTATTCTCCAGAGTAAAACTGTTGTGTCTCTGGATCCAGTCACTAGGTAGTTACTATCAGGTGAAAGACCGAGGCAAGTTACTGGAGCACAATGTGCATAAGCTGTTTCTAATGTTTTGGCTCCATCTGAGGATATTAGCCTAATACTATTATCAGCATGCCCACCTAATAAATCAGAAACAAAACTTCAAATTAGGTGTCAAACACCAAATATGCAAAAGCAACTACTACAAAATGTAGTCCAAGTTTCTAAGACCCTGAAAGAGCCAAGAGGATGATGAAAAAGATATAATTTATTTTAAACAAAAAACAGATGAACTATTTCCTGGTAAAGGTTTTAGCAATCCTACACATCCCAGGACTTGGAAATATGGCAATTCAAGTCAGCAATGCACATCATCAATCAAATTTAAGATACATCAAAGGTCAAGAACAAAAGAGAATATAAAAACCATATCATTCATATATCTAGACAGTGAATAATTATATTCTATTATTATTATTACTATTATTATTATTATTACTATTTCTATAATTGTAAATTTACAAGATTTGATTGACGATTTTGAATATGCTAGCTTGGACTACCACAGTACCACAACATTTGGAACTAAAATTTTAGCACCAGTCAGGGCTTCTCATTTCCCAATTGCCAGGCATTATGGGTTACAGACCTACAGAAAATGGTTTCATCTGTATTGTAGGTATTAAATATGACCATCATGCCTAAAATTTCCATGTTGAAGGAAAGTTTCATTAAAAAATTATCTAGCAGCTCTATCAAAATGCCTGCTATTGAACGAGAGAGAAAAGGAAAATAATATTTCTAATTTTATTGAAATGAATTGGATACTTGAATCAATTTACAAACTGATACTTTTACAAGAGTTAAACTAACTCAACTGATTAGCCTGTACACTGTTGTAAATATCATAGATATTTAGGAGATAAAAATTATCTCTAAATATCTTTAGATATTTGTTTTCCTATTTCCTTATTATTGTTATTTCCTTTTTTAAGCATAGTTATTTACTTTATAGAAAGGGAGATTACGAAATGTACAAAATACACAATTAATATACAATTTCCTTCTTTCCAACTTGGTATTAGAGCCTATCCTAGATTCATTAAAGGGTCACCTACCATTTATCTACACACTAAACTCAATAGTGCTGAGCATGAGGGAGTACATTGAGAAAAACTCAAGTTTCAAATTGTTTTGTTTCTACTGCTTAATACTGGTGTTATTGTTCACCATTATTGCTTATGGGACCAATTGTTGCAACTTCTCTTTGCTGGTCATAAATTAAAAAAAGATATGTTTGTCTGCCAATCATCATGCACCAGCCATCATGGTACTACTGTTCAAACAATACTAATCATACATGTATTGTTGACGCAATATTGTTCATCATGCGATCAACACTGTTCACTAGGATATTTGAATCTTCATTGAGGAGGAATTGAAGTGTTTCCAAACCCTCTTTGATTCCACGAGTAAGCCCTTTGATTCATGTGTTTGACCATGAAGGGTAAAAGTTCATTTAATATTTCTAGTTCTGTTTCCCAAAGCATATGGATTCTTGATTTGAGGGCAATAAACCACATGATCACGCTCCCTACACAATTTACAACATACAATAGAGCACCTGACAACTTATTACAAGTGCTAATGGAGACGTGTTCCTATTGTTGTTGGATCTGACAGCATTCAACTTCAGTCATCTCTATCCCTACAAAATGTTTTTCATGTCTCCAAATTAGCTAATAATCTCATTTCTATACATATACTTACTTAAGATTAAAATTGCTCAATAACTTTTTTTCATTCTCATTGTGCCTTTCATGGCCTTGCATCGGGGAAGACAATTTTAATTGCTAAAGAGCATTGTGGATTGTATTTCTTATTACATAAAAAAGATGACTATTAAAAAAAAACAGATGTCTTCCAATCAACAGCTAACCTTAGATACTTGGGCTGCTTTGCAAATTTGGCTTCATCACAAGGGTCTTGGACATCCTCTGTTTGGTTTACTTAAATCTCTATTTCCACATTTGTTTACAAAAGAGTCTGTTAAGTCCATTAACTGTGATATTTGTTAGGTTTCTAAGCACCGTTTATCCTCTTTACCTAATAATAAAAGTGTTTCTCCTTTTGATCTTGTCCATTCTGATGTTTGGGGACTTATTGTTGAATCTATTTCAAGAACTAGATGGTTTGTAACTTGCATTGATGATTGTACCTACTTGACGTGGACTTACCTTATGAAACACAAATTTGAGGTTTGCTAAATATTTGTTAATGTTTTCCGTCTTGTCAAAAATCAATTTTGTTATTCCACTAAAAGAATTTGATTAGATAATGGAACTGAATATGTTATTCTTGAATTTTCTAAATTTGTTATAGAGCAACGTATTATCCATGAATTAACTTGTGTTAATACTCCCCAACAAAATTAGGTCACAAAAAGAAAAAATTATCACCTACTTGAGGTCGCAAGGGCCCTATTCTTTCAAATGCCTATCCCTAATGTCTATTGGGGAGAAGTTGTCCAAACTGTCACCTATCTAATTAACAAGAATTAGTCCAATTGAACACATTTTATCATTCAATGTCATGTGTTAGGGTGTGTTGCATTTGTTCATTCTCATAGTCCTCATTGTGGTAATTAGACCAAGAGCTGTCAAATGTGTCTTTACCCCAAACAAAAAGGGGGTACAAGTGTCATCTCCCTCAAAGTTGTCGATTTTATGTTTCAAAGGAGTACATTTCATGGAACCATTAAATGGAGACATTAGAGAGAAACTCAACTTGGGTGGTTATTGTTAAACCCAAAGACAAGAAAGTTGTAATGTGCAGATGGATATACATGGTGAAGTGTAAATTTGATGGGCCATTTGTTTGATACAAGGCAAGATTGGTGGTAGCCTAAGGGTACACATATACCTATGGCACTGGCTATAAGGAGACATTTACTCCTGTAGCAAAAATGGATAAAGTAAGAATTATCCTCTCCCTAGCATTCACTTTGATTGGGATCTACAACAATGTGCTGTTAAAAATGCCTTTCTGCATGAAAATCTGGAGGAGGAAGTTTACATGGAGATTCCCCCAAGATTTGAATCTCAAGGTGTAAAGAACAAAGCGTGTAGGTTGATAAAGGCTTTGTATGGTCTCAAACAATTTCCCTGAACATGGTTTGGAAGATTTCCTCACCATGATGAAGTCCTTTAGATACAAAGTTAAGGTGATCATACTCTATTCATAAAACATTCTACTAATGGCAAATTCACTCTTCTCTTAGTGTATATAAATGATATGAACGTTGTAGGAGATGATGAGGTAGAGAAACTAATTATGAAAGAAAAATTGGCTACTCATTTTGAAATGAAGGAGATGGGAAAGCTTAAGTATTTCCTTGGAATAGAGGTTGTCTATTCTAGGAAAAACATCTTTATTTCTCAAAGGAAATATGTACTAATCTTTTGAAGAGAATTGGGATGCTAGACCCACAGGTGCCCATTGAGAAAAACAAGATTGGAAGTTAAAAACGTCCACCTGTAGAGAAATCCCAATACTAGAGATGAGTTGGGAAGTTGAATAATCTATAACACACTAGGCCTGTTATTGCCATTTGCTATTAGAGTGGTTAGCTAATTTATGCATTG